TTGTTATTGCACGGCGTGCGAATGTGAGTTCATTTCCACCGGCAAGTTCGTGATCCATGTGGATGACGACGAGCCCAAACCATCCGACACCACCAGTGTGACGGAGAAAGTGAAACAAGCTCAGCGAGAAGCAAAGGAAGATGCTGAGCGATTCGTCGCCGAAGAAGAACGACCCGACACCCATGAGATGAGTGGGGAACGGTCTGCAGGCAGATCGTACATCCCGTCGGATATCGGGACGGGGACATCGACGATGAAGATGCGGGAGTTTGTCCGGACAACCCAGAGGAGGATGTGGACGCAATTCATCTCTTGCAAGTCAAGGCCATCTGCGTCGACGAAGCCGGCGAGGCATCACACCTCTCTGGATTCATTGGCATCGTGCTTTTTCAAAGTGTGGAAGGTGTTTGCCAACAACGAGACAGATGTGGTCAAGGAGCCTGGCAAAGGCAGCGGACTCCATTGTCCCTACATCGCGATCAATGGGAGGGACAAGTGGGTTTTTTCAAGTCGATGAACAGAACATTCCAATCCCGCCCACCTATGAAGAGGTCACTGCCGCTCCTAAGTTCAGAAATGTGAGGTTCAAAAGCGCGAGCCACAGGGACGAAGAAATGTTCTTTTGGTTCCTGAAGCTGAGAGGGCTATACGATTTGGACCGCCTGCAAGATACTTGGTATCAAAGCAGAGCAGTTCAGAGGTGTCAGCCACCAGAAGGACATTGCCTTCGTCAGCGACACAATATTCCAATGCATCGCCCTTGGCCTCAATTGCGACTACATGACCTTCTACCGAACAGATGTGAACATTGGACGCAAGTTCTTGAAACTTGAGCTTGGTGCAATCATGTGCATTCAAAGCGTAAAAGAGGTTGACACTCCTCTTATCCAATGGTGCTATTCTCGCAATACACATCTGCCCTCGCGCTTTATCGAGAAGATCAATCGGACCGAGGAGACTGAGGAGACACCGCGTTCTCTGTTAGAAAGGTTCCGGTGGAGGGCGACTAGAAAGGCCATCGCAGCATTATCACACTGCTGATCAAGCATTTTCGTTACGATTTCTTCCACGTGGGGGATCAACTGGAATTTGCATTTTTACACAATGGGATCGTGATACTCATCGTGCATGGTATCATGGCCAGCCCTTGTGGTACTCGTCGTGCACGGTACCCTGGGCAAACCAAAAGTATTTGCATGAGACTTGCATTTATCACCACAGAATGTTTCTTGTTTTCCGTACAGTATCGTCATCGGCGACTACTTTTCTGGAGATGCCAGGTATTTGGTGGTCAACGATTATTCGATGCTACAATTGTTACTGGTTACAAATTGGTGATGGACTATGCTAACCATGGATATTCGTTTTCTGCAGACTGCCCTGGATCTGTACTATTACCTTACAGATAGCTTTCTGCATGTGCACCATTGCACATGAGGTCCGGTAAGAGACCTGTAGCATTCTCATTTCATGTCAAGTTACAGAACCTGGTCAAACTCGCGTAGAGACAATTCACTGAATTGAAAAAGAGAAGCCGTGCGTCCATGCGTGTCGGCATGCGTTTGTGATTGGTTCCCGACCCAGGGATGAACCCAAGCCCGGGATGGGGGATGCTAAGAATCTCCGAGCCGCAGGCTAAAACATCCTAAGGGCAGGTTCTGAGCGTCACCCTGTTACTTCCCCTTGTTTAAGGTCCTAAACCTTTGAGGGAATTGTGTTTTGTGTGCAGCCGACATGTACATGCGAATGCATTTGGCTCAAGACCTTGATAATAGAACCGAGGCAAACATCCAATACACAAGCAAAGCAAAGGGGTTCGTATTCCACGGTCGCATCGAGTCGTGGGACTGCGCAGATCCTTTGCCTTACAACCCCCGTTTACCACGACCACTACTATACGACTCACCGTCGAGGGTATTGGTTACTTCACGGGAGTCGAACCCCAACTGCCTTGTCATTTGACTACGTGGTTGATTCACCTCCTGGCACTCACTCTCTCTCTCTCTCTCTGTCTCTCTCTCTCTCTCTCTCCCTCTTCTCCTCCCCCCAAGTGTTCAATTCTCCCTTCATGTCCGCTTCATTTTCCTCATATCCCTACGTCTCCCTTCGTGTCCTTTGGTTTCCTTGTCCTTTCTTTGCCTTTCAGTCCCCCCTTGTTCAAGATTTTCGGCGAAAGGAGGCAGAAAACCCGAACCGGCAAGGGGCCAGGGGGATTCGAGCATGGGACCCCTGTTTTGCTCCCCGAAGACTATTTTTAGTGGAACGTCATCACAAACGCTCCTGAAACCTGCGTATCAAACGTCGTGGGGGGGGGGGTTATCCTCTATCCTCTCTTAAGTGTCCGACGCGCGGCGGATATGGGAAGGAGGTTTGAAGGCCAAAGGGGCTTGCAAAGCTGGCGCATTAGGCAGGGGTTGGCGGCCCAGCGTATGTCTGGGTTAAAACAGCACGAGCCTCCAGAGCGTTCAGCCTTGCTGTTGTTGTTGGTGGTCGTGGTGGTTGTGATGGCGGGGGCGGTGGTGCGTCTGTGGTTGCTGCGGGTGCCGCGGATGTTGCGGTTGTTGTGGTTCGCGGTTGTCAGTGGGTGGTTGCTTGTTCTGCGTTGGTTGGAGTTGTTTGCATTTTGTGTTGGTTGCGCGTGGTTTGTTTTCTGTCTGTGCAGCGTAGCGTCTGCTGCTTCTGGCTTGTTGCGTGTTTGCTGGCGTTCGCCTGTTTTTGCGTGTCTTCTGGGCAGTCTGTTTGGCGGCGCGTTGTGTGTAACTTGCGGTTTTGCACGCTTGCCGTGTTTGTTTGGGACTGCGTGTGCTTCGGAGTCTTGCGCATGTCTGTTTATGTGTTGCTCGTGGGTTTGTGTGGTTCCAAGGTCTTCCTCGCCTGTGTGTGTTCTGGGTAATGTGTTTATTTGTCTCTGTTTGTGTCTTTGTGTGTATCTTCATGTGCGTCTCTGCTTCCTCAACCACCCACCTACTCACGTGCGCCAGCGCAGGGATAAACAAATGGAAGTGAAGCCACGGACAGACTTGAGCTGTTGCGCAACGTCTGAGTGGAAACCAGCACATAATTAGCACACAACCGTGCAAAACGTCCGAAGATTCGTGGACATTGAGCATGTTCCAGGCTATTTTTTCAGAATATTGTAGCTGAAATTAGCCTGTTGCTTTCTCAACCGGGAACAAAGCAACAAACTCGACCGAAACACAGGCGCACGAGGAGACACACACGCGCACACACACACACACACGCACACACACACACAGACACAGACAGACGCACACACACAGACGCCAACACACACACAGACAGACGCACACACACACACAGACGCCAACACACACACAGACACACAGACACACAGACACACAGACACACAGACACACAGACACACAGACACACAGACACACAGACACACAGACACACAGACACACACACACACACACCCACCCAGGCATGTTAAAAAAAACACACGGACACAGACACGCGCACAGAGAGCGCGCACACAGACACAGACGCGCAAACATACACACATACAAACGCACGCGCCGAGCCCCACACACACATGCGCAGATTAACGCATGCATGCATGCATGCGTATGTGCCTGCGTGTTTTTGTGTAGCTCTGTGTGTTTCTGTGTGTTTGTGTCTGTCTGTCTGCGTGCGTTTGTCTGTGTGCGCGTGTCGTTTTTCTGTTTGTCTTCGTTGGTCGTGTTGGAGTGTGTGTGTATGTGTGTGTATGTGTATGTATGTATATGTGTGTGTGTCTGTGTGTCTGTGTGTCTGTGTGTGTCTGTGTGTGTCTGTGTGTGTCTGTGTGTGTCTGTGTGTGTGTCTGTGTGTGTGTCTGTGTGTGTGTCTGTGTGTGTGTCTGTGTGTGTGTCTGTGTGTGTCTGTGTGTGTCTGTGTGTGTCTGTGTGTCTGTGTGTGTCTGTGTGTGTCTGTGTGTGTCTGTGTGTGTCTGTGTGTGTCTGTGTGTGTCTGTGTGTGTCTGTGTGTGTCTGTGTGTGTCTGTGTGTGTCTGTGTGTCTGTGTGTGTCTGTGTGTGTGTGTCTGTGTGTGTCTGTGTGTGTCTGTGTGTGTCTGTGTGTGTGTGTGTCTGTGTGTCTGTGTCTGTGTGTGTGTGTGTGTGTGTGTGTGTGTGTGTGTGTGTGTGTGTGTGTGTGTGTGTGTGTGTGTGTGTGTGTGTGTGTGTGTGTGTGTGTGTGTGTGTGTGTGTGTGTGTGTGTGTGTGTGTGTGTGTGTGTTTGTGCGTGTGTGTTTGTGCGTGGGTGTGTGTGTGGGTGAGATTGTACTCGTGCGGTTGTTTCTTTGTTTGTTTGCTTGCTTGCTTGTTTGTTAGTTTGGTTGGTTGCTTTTTGGCGTTGTGTTTTTGTGTGGTTGTACCTTGGTTCCCCCTCGCTGTGGCCTTGATCCGTGCACCTTCTTGAGAAATGACCGCCTCTGACTTGCCATCGGCCTGGTTCACTCTGGCACCTGTCATCTTACTCGACACTTCTGGTGCTGTGGGATCTCAGGGCAGAGTGATGGATTTTTACGTTCCTTCGAGCGCCGACCCGGCCAAGCGAATGGGGCCGTTGGGCATTGCTTCGGAGTGTACGAAGTGAAGAAACAGCTTGCGAATGCCCTAAAAACTTCATCGTTGTTCAAGCGATTGTGTTTGTTTGTGCGCGTTTCCCTTGAAGTATTTTCATTGTAGCCCCTTTAGTAGCTCACTGGCGAGCTTGTTGAATGTGCAAAGAGCGTGATAGGAAGTGGCCACACATGACCCTGTGACTTAGCGTGCTTGGTTTGTAGGTTGCGTAGGTTGCTTCCTGAGTTGCGCAATGCTGATCTAGCGTCAAGCGATTTTCATAAAGGCTACGCACATGTTCAGGGCATGAACATGTTGTGTTTAAGGCCATTGAGGCGGCCTGGCGTGTGATTCTCATAGCTGCGTCAGAAGCGCTCTTCACAGTTGGAAAATTTCCTTTGCTCCACCCTGTTTAGGGGTCTGTCCGCCGCCGTAGGTAAAGCTGTGCCACCAGGCCTGGTTTGGGCTGGGAACATTGGGCAGCCGCAAGGCAATGGTCACGAACTGGGTGAGCACCAACAAACATGGGCAGCGAACATCAAACCAAGACCATTATGTCCCTCAAGGGTCCCCAGGCAAAGCTCACTCGAAACTCAGAAGATGCTTCCAACTTGGGCGAGGAAAGAGAATGAGGCCCCTGGAATTGCAGGTTGTGATGATTGGAAAGGGGCTAGCGCAAGGCGCATCTTTGCCCTCGGGGTGGACATGTGCTGGGCCTCTATTTTGGCAAAACGTATCACCTGGGCCCCATACGAGTTTCTTCGGAGACTGAGGCGTAAATTGAAAATGTGTCACGGTTCATGTCCGCACCCACCAGCCGTGAATACGGGTATGTTTTCCTCATTACATGATGTCCGCCAAAGTGGCCTCAGTAGAATTGCACCGGTGTACTGAGAAGAGTCCCCTGCAAATTGTGCATGTCCAAGCACTGACACATTCGCAGGGTTTCCACTGACTTCCAACGTGAACAATAGAATTGTTCGACCACTTGCCAGCACCGCTGCAAAGGTTATGATGCGGAGCTGTGCTAAGAACCTGCAGGGATCATGAGTTACGCAAGTTTCGTTGCTGCTTTCGAGGGCCACGCGCACACATGGCCAGCTGAACTTGTATGTTCTTGAAGCCTTGGTTGCCCTCCGGCATGACCTTGAGCCGTGTACCTGGTGACAAACCAACCTATTGGTACCACAGGTTCTGCCATCAAGTGGCGCAGCAGCTTACTTGATAGTTCTGGTGCTGTGCCCATTTGTCATGGGATCTCAGGGGCGGAGTGATGGGTTTACACGTTCCTTCAGGCGCAAGTTAGATGAATTGAGCTGGCTGGAACTTAATTTGGGGGTGTACAAAGTGAAGAGACGGCTTGGAGATTTTTGGACACTTCATTGTTGTTCAGACGATTGTATTTGATTGCGCGCGTTTCCCCTGCAGAGAAAGCGGTTGGGACTTGCGGCCGTGTGTGACCCTGTGCGAAATCCACCTAGATTCACCATTTTCCAATGCGCTATCACTGCGCTATTCCGCAGGATCCGCATATTCAGGCTTTTGATTTTCACGACAACATTCCTCATAGGAAGTATCACCACGCATGGAAAGATGCTGCGCGGTTCCCGCTTGCCATTTCTCTAAGCGGGCTTGACGCGCAGAATTCCAATTTTAAACCAAGCGCTGCTATTCACATAATTTGGTCTTCTACCTGAACCTCATCAGGGAAGATCCATATTCGGGATCAACACTAAGGAACCCACCCTCCGCAAGGCGGTTCTTGACATTCCCCACCACACATTGGAGTCTTATGGTTGTCTTGGAAGCGCCACTCCCATTAAGGGCCTCTCCCACTAAGGGCTATACGGCTGAGGTAAACATGTCCCTTTCACAAAATAGGCGCCCGTTTCTGGCTCTGAGATGATTTGAGGGTTCTTGTCGTCACGTCCGCCGCAGGCGGCAAAGCCGCGCCACCAGGCCTTCTGAGTCTGGCTTGGGGTTCGAACTGAATGACCGCCCACTAACAAGAGGGGAACATGGAACCCCAACTAAAGTTCATTCGAAAGTCAGAAGATCCTTTTAACTTGGCCGACGCAAGCGCGTAAGGCCCCTTGCGTTGGTTGCTGCCAATCATTGTGGTTGGAAAGCGGATTGGCCAACTTGGTTTTGCTTGTCTCTTTCTTTCTTTCTTTCTTTCTTTCTTTCTTGGTTTCTTTCTTTCTTTCGTTCGTTCGTTCGTTCTTTCTTTCTTTCTTTCTTTCTTTCTTTCTTTCTTTCTTTCTTTCTGTCTTTCTTTCTTTCTTTCTTTCTTCTTTTTTGGGGGTCCACCGCGGCGCAAGGGCTTGCCCGAGATGGTTTAAACCACCCTTTTACGACAAGACGCTGGTTGAAGACAAAGCTGTGCCTCATTCAAAGTTGCCGATGCAGCGTTGGTGGCCAGCAGTGTGCCATGCAAACTTGCAGGCGTCATGACGTTGCCTTGCTCAACCAGAGCAGTACAGGAGATTTGGCAGACCCAAAAGGGCCGACGGGAAAATTGCGAACAGACACAAGCTGACGCAGTGTTTTGAGCTGAGTGGTTGGTTCTTCGCAAACGTTCGGCGTCCAAGCTGCCTTTTGCTGGAGTCGGTGCAAGTTTCATGGCAAGCTCAGCTGCAATGACTGTGCCCATGAAAACTGACTGCGGTTGCAGTTTGAGCGGCTGCCCAAATTCCACATGAAGGTTGGCGTGATCCACGCCCTGCGCATCCTGCGCCCACATGCAATTGAATTACAGTCTCAGTTCGGAAACAACGTCGCCCTTCTTGGTTTGTAGATCTGTAAGCAAGCGCAAAACGACAATTTGTAGATTTGCCTGCGCAACGATCCGGGTGCAGCAGCTGACGTCTGTGCAGCAGCAACGATCCGGGTTTGCTTCGGGTCGACTGGATTCGCTTGGTTTTGTTGTTCGCCAGGGGGAGGCCACGCAGTGTTCCAGAAGGCAGGCGGACAGCCGGCGGACGGTTTGTTTTACCTGATGTCGATCAGTCTAGTCTATGAACCTGTCCGGCGTCTAGTCTGAGTCAACAAAAATCAGTCCTGTTGCCAAACCAGGGGCGGCGCCGGTAGCTCCGAATGTCCGACTTTTGATGTAATCAGCGGAAAGAAGTGTTGCTGGCTAAAACCTTGGTGATGTTTGTGTGACATCGGCTGTAGTCAGCGCGGGACAGTTCTGCTGAAATCAGGGATGATGCTGGTGGTCCTGAGCAATTTAGTCTATGAAGCTGTCCGCATTTACTTAGTTGCAGGAGTACAGTTTTGTTGACTAAAGCTGTGGAGATGTTGGTGGTGCCGACAAATTAGACGATATAGAAGGTGGAGGTTGGAGAAGCGACGCGGCAAACTTAGGCATGTCGACACCACTTCCCCCCAACACAACCTCGCCCGTTTGCCAGAGGATGATTGAATGTTCCGGCCTGATATATCGCTGTTTCCTGAGACTGCAGAGCCCGTTATGGAGAGGTGTGCGCGAGGAGAAAGGTCCTTGTGGGCAGGCCAAAGGTACGAGAAAGGCCTGTCAACGTGTCCATGATTGAAAGCGCCGCTTTCTTCGGATATTTGGGCTTGGCCATGAGCCAGTTTGGCGAATTCAGACACACGGCGCAGCAGTGTATCATGAAATTCGACTGTGGCTCATAGGAACTTGGTGTTCTCACGACCTAGCCGTCTACAATATGTAAACAGCCTGTTTTGCACAGTTGTTGGTCCTGTGTCTAACAAACCTACACTCGCCAAACCATTCTCAGGAACGAAGCATCGCTAATCTCTGAAGAACGCGGGGATAGGCGCCATTTGGGGCTTCAATATGAATTGCCCGCCCTGAAGGGAGCCGTGTGGTTTGGTGCAGAGTTCAAAGCATTTGTCAGGACTTGACGAAGTCCTGTGCGGTGGTTGCTCTGCCCGGCGCCTCGAGAACAGCTTCCACAAAACGTATTCTCCTACTTTCGTCCAGTGAGCTCTGATTTAGACTGACCCCCAACTTTCTTTGTGCAACCACGAAGTAGAATGAGGTGAAAACGCTGGTCCAGGATCCTGCCCCGGGGCCCCAAGCCCAGGATTGGCTAACATGTCTTTATTTGACTCTTCCACTGTTTCCCAAAACGCAATTCTCATCACATCATAAAATGCGCATCATGAGGTGTGTGACTAAGCGTGACCGTGCGATGTGGTGCGCGATCGTGCGTGTGTGTCTGTGTGTGCGCTTGTGTGACGCGGTAATTCAGGATAGTCGGGCGTTTGTTGCAGTGGTGAAAACTTGTGACAATGTGCTTTTCGCAGTGTGTGTTTTTTCGCCGTTTGAGTTTTTTCGCCAGTCTTTGCCAGCGGTGCTTGTCGCCAGCAGAGTTGTCTTGCCAAAGGTGTACTACTCACATTCTTGGGCGCGGGTTCTTATTTCTACCTCTGCGCGCCCGTCGCCCGCCGCGCTCCCCTCCCTCACTCACTCACTCACTCACTCACTCACTCGCTCGCTCGCTCGCTCGCTCGCTCGCTCGCTCGCGCACCTCACCGGTGCACGTTTGCGTGGCATGGACAGCATTTCGTAGCTGTCTAAGGGGCCTTGATGTTGTCGAGCGCACGGCTTGAGGGCCCCGTTTTGCGTCAAAGCTTGCAGATGATTTCGTGGCTCGTCACTCACTCACTCACTCTCTCTCACTCACTCACTCACTCACTCACTCACTCACTCACACACACACACACACTCAGTCCCACTGACTCCCTCTCACTGACTCATCTGGGTGTGTGTTTGTGTGGCAGCGGCAGCATTTTTGGCAGTGTTCCTACTAGGTGTAGTTTGACACTTTAGCAGCTTGCTGTAAGAATTGGAAGCGGCACAGACGCAGGGTCAACCATTAAGATAAGATAGCATTTGTGTTCCTTGATTCTGGGGATGCGCTTGTGTTGTTGTTAGCCGCATTTATTGTGCGTTCTGTTTACTGCAGCCGTTCTGTTCGGTTACTACCAGGTGTTGTTCGGACTGTCAGAAGCTTATTTTCCAGATCGAAGCAATTCCCACACAGGGCCAACTTATGATATTATAACATGTGTTTGCAAGAATTGTTCTGTTGGTGTACAGATGCCAGTGGAAAACAATCATGGCGCATGGCGAGCGTGTGTCCGCAAAGCTGGTGTTCGAGTGCGGGGTCCAGGCTGAGCATCTTGAGGAGAGGCAGACGCTGACCTGGCTTGTTTGCTTCACTGCGATTTCGGCTGCCGAGAAGGAACTGAGAGCAGCAGGCAGCTCGATGCAGAAGGATGTGGTGCCAGATTGGTCTGATGTGAGCGGGCACAACAGCAAACACTCCCAACACAATGTTCCAATCTTTGGTGGGCTGCTTTTCAATGGCTCAGCCAAGGGCGCTGCAAGAGCTTTTCCCGGCGCACGCCTGCTGCTCGGGCTTTAGCGTCTTGAGCACGGCGGCTGGAATTGGTATTTTGGACGCTTCGGGCAGTTTGGCGCGTGAGCATTTTGGTCTGGAGGCGCTTGCTGAGCAGCCAAACACGTGATCTTGGCATCCACTTGCGCTTGGACGACGGCAGCGGGCCGCTGCATGCCTGTGGCTTGGACAGTTGCCACGCTTACGCTGGCTTGAGGCGTTGTTTCCCTTTTTTTCAGGGTAGGAAGACACCAATGCTGCAAGCCCAGCTAAAATGACACGAGGGAGCAACCCCTTATAGTTTGAGGAAGGGTAGCCTAGAAGCTGGTCCCATCCGAATCTAAGTAGCTTGAACATCCATCTCCAAGGTGTGAAACAGACTCAGGGCCTACAAGTGTGCCGCACAATATTATGTCTGGGTCCCTTGCCCCCTGCGGTTTGCTTCGCACGCGTGGTGGCGGAGCTGGCTCGTCAGATGGTTTCTGAATTGCATCTGACTGGCCCTGGCATTTGTCATCTGCCTGGCTGCCTGGAACTGCTTGCGGCAGTTTTGACAACCCCGTCTCAGGAGCCCGGCCCGCGCAAAACGTAGGCGCGCCTGGGCGCGCTTCTTCCAAAACTTGTTTTTCGAGGTGCTTATTCGTTTGCTTTTTGCGTTTGCTTGCGTTTGGCTCTCCACTTTCTTGGTTTCATCGCGCCTTCCTAGTACTCCGTCTGCGGTCTGCGCCCCGCCTTACTTCTTTTCGTCGCTCCCGATGCAGTGTGTGCCTTTGCCCCGCACGACTGCTTTTCAGCGACTTCGGTCGTCTCTTGGGGATTTCCTCGCGCGCGCGCATGTCTGCGTGCGGGGCGTAAAATGAGAGCCATCGGAGCCGCGCGATGAATACATAAAGAGCGTGCGTCAGCGTAAAACCTGTTCGCGCGGTCTTGCGGGAAAGTACCTTCAAGCTTGCTCGACTGCTTCGCTCACCGACGCTCTCCTGCGTTTGAAACCGCTTCGTGCGCGCAAACGAAGCCACCCAACGCTCTCCTGCGTTTGCGACCGCTTCGATCGCGCGCGCGCGCGCGCAAAAAACGAAACCACCCCACACTCTTCTGCGTTCGTCCCGGGCGTGCTGGAAACGAGGGCGTTCGTACACACACGAGAGTGTTCGTATACATACGAGTTGCGCAACTTTAGATATGCTGGGTCGCGCTGTAGCGCTTGGAGCTGGCGCAAAACCTACTGGCTATGCCACGCGCTAGACTTGCGCGCAGCCGAGGGCATAGTATTTCTCACAGTCGACCGCGTTTGAAGGGCGTCCACTCAGTGCCAAAGGTGACGCCGCGACGCCCTGGCGCTGCAAATGCGAAGTCACTGCAACAGGCACGCGCCAAAGAACAGCCCACTCACCCATGGCCTCGGCCTGCATGACGGTGGAAGCCGGCGCAGCGGGCAAGACAGAGTCCCAGCTTCCATCCTCTCCAGCCGGCTGCTGTAAAAGGTGCCTAGACAGCGGCCCTCTGGGCGGCGACCGTCCTGTGATATCTTCGGGCGAATTGCGCCGGCTGCAGCCTGCTCGCATAAGTGGTCTGCGCAAGCCCGTCTCCTGCCCAGACTGGGGGCGTTTCCCCAGAAGCTTCACGGGCGCACAAGAATTGCCTTGCGAAGGCAGGGAACCCCGCCCATAGCAGCGAAACCCGGCACAAAACAACAACATGGCGGGCTAGCGCGGTGAAACGAGGCCACTCCTGATGAAGTTGCTTGTAGCCCTTTTTTAGGAAGCTCCGAGTCGCGAGTTACTTAGGCCGTACGAGCTAGTGACGTGAGGAGAGTGAAAATTCAAGAGATTTCACGGCTTTATCACGGAGAAGTAGCGACGAGTTATCATGGCCGTTTGGCCAAGCTTTCACGCCTGCACGGGAGCCTTCAGCTGCAGGGCCCAGGACGTCGATGAAGTGGGCCCCTTGCGTTTGAGCTCTTCGTGCTGTAGTTGCGCGTTCTTGTGGGCCGGTGCTCAATTAAGTAGTCCACTTTTGAGGGGTGGATCTTCTGCGGGATTTCCTCTTTGTGGGGATGCGCCTTGCAATGCCCTTTTGGCGTAAACCTATCATAGATGGGCTCCGGCCTTGCGTGCCATCGCTGATGCTTTGGAGCAGCAGAACGCGGTTGAGGGTTGGTGTAGGAGTGTTGTTGCGTGCATCAGGAGCGGCTTGTGTCCTCGGACGAATCGTTCGCTTGCCATGTTTGGGTTGCCAGCAAGCAGTTGCAATTGTCTTCGGGCGTTTGCGCTCTGTGCTGGTCGTCCGCAAGAACATGGCTAACGCCCGCCGACACGCCTTGCAAGAAGGCACGCATCGGCTCGCTGCGAAAGGGCCTGTCCTCTGCCTCCTCACGCACTTCCCGCAGGCAGCGATCGATCACAGCTTGCAAGAAGGCCTGCTGCTCTGCGCTTGGCCGCCATAGTGCTGGGGTCGTGTAAGTTGCGCAGCCATTCCGCAGCTGCTTGTGCAATCAGCTTTTCCTACACGCACGTACTGGAAGCTGCCGCCCCCGCTCAGTCGGCGGACAATGGCTACATTGTCCACTTCGGCGCTGCCCCGATCCTTTTGTCCTGCTCTAAGCCTTCCGCGGCCGAGAAGTTGGCGAATCGTCCTGGCAGCATGCTCGGACACCACATGCTGTGTCGCACAATCTCGCCAAGCTGCGCTGAGGCTTCTGTCTTCACCGTGGCACGCTCGCTTGCAAGGAGGAGATGGCCAAGTGCAGCGCCGTGATGCGCCGCGCGCGCAAGCTGGCGTCTGCCTAGTCCAAATGCATGGGACCGGCGCCACTGGCTCCCGGCGCCGTGAAAGCAGCCCAGGCCAACAAGCAAGGTTAAATCGTCTCGCCACGATTGTTTCTGCTGGTGAGCGCTGTCCTGTTGCAAGCGCAGCCCAGGCGGTAAAAAGCAAGGTCAATTGCTCCACCTGGGCCTCGATGTTCTTGCGCAGGTCTTCGTCTGACACGTTGAAAAACAGTTTCTTCCTGTGGCACCAGGTTGCTGCCACATGCCATGTAGGCCAGCGAAGCCGGCTGAGTTTCGTCCGGTCCTTCCCGCCGGCTAGAGAGACCCTCGCAACAAGCACGCGCTTCAGCCTTGGAGGAGTCTGCTCGTGTGGCAATTTTTCCATGGCCCTGGTGATCTGCTTCAAGAGCGGGTCGCTCGGCTGCATGAAGATTGCCCAGGATTGCTTTTCCATTTCAAGCCGTTGGAGATGTGTGCCCTCCTGATCTAGAGCTTCCGTCATCTCATCCGTCCATGCCGGGTCCCATTGCCTCTTTTCCCCAAATGACGTCCTGTTGATCCTCTCTGTGACGAGCGCCTGCTTCACGCCGAGGACCTTTCTGATTTTCTTCGCCTTGGCTGCTGGTTTTCTCACTACTTGCCTCGCCCCGTTCTTCAACTTGCTGCTCCCCTGATGACATTTTGCATCTTCTTCAACAGCGGGTCGCTGCGATTGCCTCAACTATTTCTGCTGCCAGTTCCTTGACTTCGGCAGTATCAGTTGCTTCGACGCGCGTGAACCACGCCCTGATGCACAGCGAACGCAAGTTGATATTTGGTGTCTTCGGCGTCGGGCCCAACCGGCTGTTCAAGCGCCTTGTTGCCAACTCGAAGTTCATGCTTTGATTTCCAGCGTTAATGTACTAGACTATGTTCTTCCCCTTTGGTGAGGTCCTACTGCGGGCTTGGGTCAAGCCTTTGTGCGCGTGCGTCCCACTCTCCTGAGCATGCCTGAGCCCAGCGTACGACCTGATCCCGAAAGTGTGTACAAATGTAACGTGCAGCTGCATACCCGCAAATGGTCTTGTCTTTTTTGTACGGACCTGCTGTGACCTGGTGATCAAATGTCAAACGAGCTGCTGAGACAGGTCGCTTGAGTTAAGCCGCTTTGGTGACTGCTATGGAGCTGTCTACGGAGCGAAAGTTGAGAATCTTGCACCGTTACAATCAATCACACACTCCAAAAGCACAACGCTTTGGCCAGAATCCAGAATGGTGATCGTCTCACAATCGACATGAACCGGTCCGTCTCGGAAGCGACGCGGGGCGGAGAAGCGCGGGCGGGCTTTTTGCGGGGTCCTTGTTTATTTGTTTAAGAACACGTGCAACCTCCAAAACACGGGTCTTCACAAATGAAGGTGATTCCAACATCCAAGCGAAGGATAAGCTTATGCAAATGGACGCTGGTGCATGAGACTGTAGAGCCGGCCACGTGCCATGGTCCCGTCCCTGCAACGGGTCCCAAATGACAACTAGGCGAATTAACTTGAACATGTCAGTCTGGGTGTTGCCTTCCGATTTGTCAACCATCGTTCCTTTCAACAACCAGGCGGCTCCCGCAAATTTTGGCTAGTTCTGGAGAGGCTCGCACGATCACATCTCAGATGCCTGGGACAGGGTTACCTGGTTGGGCCCGGCTTTGAACATTTGGCTGCGGATTTTTTGTTTCAACAGCCATAGACAAACATCCCGTTTTTGCACAGTAAAGTGTTTAGCGGGGCCTTCTTGGGAGAGTGTTTTCCCAACCAGCTTGCATCGTTTTCTGACGGTCTGATTCCGTGAGCGTGCAGCCAGATTCGGATCGTCAAATTACTTCCCTGAGCTGGGGACGTGTTCTGATTCTCAGGCAAACTGACAGCTCCTTCTGAAAAACATCCTGTCGGGAGATGTGCGGGCCAGAGCTTGGAAAGAGAGGAAGAACACTGGTTTCAACGTCCCTTATAGCCATGAAGGGAATTGAGCTAGGTACTTCAACCCAGCGTAAGATAACTTGGCCCGCCTTAGTGCTGCACGCAGGCTTAGTGTTCTCTGTGACACCCGTGGCCCAATGGCTGTGTGAAGGTCAGATCCGGGATCCGACCTTGAGATGCGCTGCCCGAAGCTGAGATGGAAGCAGAAAGGAAAGCCTTCAATCCTTTGGCTGCGCTTATGTTCGCGGGCTTGTCTGCTTGTGTATCTGTGCTGGTTTTGGCGTGGTTTCCAGGAATATCAAAAGAACACGGCCCCTTTATTTTGGAGTGGGCCCTATTTTGACAAACACCCATGTTGTGAGCGTTGTGCTTTTTGTCTCCCATCACATGTCAGTACGCAACCGTGGTTTAGTGGTTATGATTGTTGTCCGTTCGTTTGCTTGCTTGTTTGTTTGTATTGTCGGTTTGTTTGTGTTGGGAAATCCCAGATTGCATGTGTAGCGTTTGTGGCATGGCCAAAGCACATTGCTCAAGTCACGCGCCTCTTAAGGACAAACCTACGATACTAGGTTGCGAGAGGCAAAAGGGCTGGCTCGAACCTATTCACCCCACCCCCCGCCTGGCAGCTACATCCGTTGAGTTTCCCCGTGCAGCAGGCGGGTTGTAGTTGGCCTGTCCTACTACGTACAGGGCTTAGCAGCTTGAAGTACCTATGCGCGCGCTGGTAATCGATTATTTGGTGACGCGCAGGCGGCGCAACGGATACTTCGGAAAGTATGGGTGCTGTGACGCATTGGGAGTTCCGGAAGCATGCCTGCTATAGCGGCCATCACGGACTCGGCTGATGGCAATGCAAGTGCGTGCCATTTCATAGTCAGGAGAAATCAGCTGCGCCATGACACCGCGCTAGGCGTGAAGCATAGGAAAGTAAGGAAGGCGGGAGGAAGTCGTTGAAACCATCTTCAATCACGAAAGACCCTCATTTGAGGATCAGAGGCATCGCCGCGAAACGGGCGTGGCCAGGTGACTAGAAGAACAAGGCAAGTCCCAGGTAGCGTTGCTGCAAGCTACCCGCTCAGTGCACGCGCGCGCAGAAAACGGCGACGAAGCAAGAGAGGCAATCGCAGAACACGAAGGAGACATGAACAAAAGGACACGGGAGTTCAATCGTTTTTTCGGTTATTTAATGGAGAAGCAGAAGCAGCAAGATCGTCAAACATCATAGCTGACAACGCGGACCATCAAGCATCTATACAGCTGGCGCAGCTCAAGAGCGCACTGAGCCCTTGCGCACGGGCTGACCCACCTGCCGCTGAACGCGGGCGGCAGTGAAGCAGCTGAGCGCCACACGTTTGAGCAGTGTTGCGCGCGCTAAGGTTAGGCAAGTCTTAAACTTGAGGGCCCAATGGAACATTGCGAGCGGATTGCGGGGGTGGATCGTTTCCATGCTCTTCCAAGAGCCGCGGCAGCTAGCTGCTATCGTAAGGTCCCGGCTAAGATACGATCATTTGCTGTCTAACCTAGGCTAGAAGTTCGCTAGGCTCTCAAAGTTCGTAAGTTCCCCGCACCTTATTGGGAACGTTTTTAAAGTCAGATATGGTCAAGTTATGGAACTTATGGAGTTCGGTTCAAAGAAAGTACAAATGACTTAGGGGGAAACATAGAATCAAAGCACTTTCAGAGAACGTACGAATTTGTTGTTTCAGCAGACGAGCGTTAAAACAGGATGCAAGGGGAGAATATTGCCGAGGGACTTCATCGACGACTACATGACGCACTTGTCAAAGTACCGATGTTCGCGTCAGCCGATGAGCCCCCGGACGCGCTTGCGACAAGGGCGAAGGATGCTGCACCCTTTGCGCGCCAGGAAGCTGCGAGGGATAATGCTTTGACGGAAGAGAGAAGCCAAGCCATTGAGAGTAGTGAGGAAGCCACCCACCAAAGCGGCGGAGGAAAATCGGATGGCTCACTTCGTCTCCAACCGGCAAGCTCGGCAACGACAACCTTGCACCCAGGCAACAAGTCGCAGATCGGAGTGCCATGATTCGCATTGAGCAGAGCTTTGCTCATAAGCTGGACGAACAGAACGAAGTGGCGCCAAAAAAATCGCAGTGGCTGATTGTGACAAGAGCAAGAAGTTGAAAGCAATCGCGCCGAACAACGTTGAGATGAGTTTTGGACATGGGCAAGAGCTACTGAGGGGCGAAGCCATTAGGCCAGATCGGAGTACAGGGAATTCAAAGGCATCTAAAAGTCAACTAGCGATTCCCCGCCGTTGGTAGAAGAGGCTCTTGATCACACAACCTTTGTCCGGGTTCGGTGTTGTGTGTCCTGCGTTCAGTGACCCGGTGATAAAAGCGCATGTCAGCATACTGCATGGTGTAACGGGATCGGTTCCAAGATCGACTACTGCGTGCAATCGTGGGAGTGGGAGTTTTTCTGGCGGTGGAAACCTCGGAAGAATTCCCACGCAACCGCAGAACTACAGTGGGTTCAACCACGGATACGGAAGCGGAAGTGGTTCAACCGCGGATACGGAAATGGAAGTGGACCACGGCGTGTTCTACGACTCACAGCAGGAGGCGGACCGCCTGATGATTGCGATGAAGAGGATGAAGAAGACAATCGTCGAGGAAGACCACGAAGGAGAGGCAGAAGTCGAGATCCTCCGTCAGAAAGGTGGCGACGCAAGATCATCAAAGAAAGAAGAGAAAGGTATTGTTCCACCATGGCCGAAGATCACTCAACGTAGCACCTAATGCGTGGGCAGCGTGGATCTCCGAACCCTGGCCTCGGCAATCTCGAGTTGCGACGCTGGAGTTGCCAAGAGGACCTCGAAGATCATCAAAGAAAGAAGCCGAGAAAGGTATTGTTCCACCATAACCGAGAATCACTCAATGTAGCACCTGGGGGATGACACTTTCCAATAATTTCCAGCGCTTCAGGTTAATGCGTGGATCTCCGAACCCTGACCTCGTCAGAGTTTCGACTTGCCAAGAGGACCTCTGTGGCAGAGTGTGGAGGGGCACCCTGGCTTGAACTCACAGCCCTCTATGCCTATGGAAGCGGATATCGTTCAGGACGCCAAGGATGAACCAGGAGTTCGGAGGGCTGCATCAAGCGCTGTGTCCGCCGCAGGGACTGGAGTTGCTGTTGTCGACTGCCGCCTGAACAGAGGTAGAGGCCTCCGTCCAAGGCGCCTCCATCGCAGCCTTCTCGAGCGTCTTCCCGTCGAGCATCATGCCTGGCGTCCACAACATCCTAGTTTCACCAAACAAGCTGGACCAACTAAAGAATTGTAATCTCGACTATCTCGCTTTCTGCAAACGCGGCGCTCCTCTCAAAGGTTTGTTGCGCAGGAGGAGCGCGTCGCGCGTGTGTGGTCTCCTCTTCCGCCGCTGCTGCGCTCGTGAGAGAGGTTCCGAGGTACACCGACGCGGCCGGAACCAGACGGTGGAGGCGACGCCCGCGTTGTACGCCAGGTCCCGTCTCTGTCTAGACTTGCGACGGCTGTGACGCGGACCTAGACGTGGAGCTCTCGCCGCGCTAGGAGCTTTGGTTCGGAGACCTTGATCTTCTGCGCTCCGGTGTTGGTCTGGGCAGCGTAGCATGGTGACACACGCCTGCCAACACGGTCTCAGTTGGTGAGGCCGCCCAGTTACCCAATGCCCAGAAGCCTGCCGAAGACTCAGGGAGCCCTTGCTGTACCCAACAGGAATTCCAACATAGCCGCTGGCCAACGATGTTGGAGTTCCTCCAACCTTCTGCATAGGTTTCACCGTCTCTCACAGGACGACCTGGGGTGACTTTTGGCAGCAAAGGAGCATGCGCTCACCTAGTGTCTAGCTGAAGGAATTGGATGAGTGCATGATATGAAGAGTTAGGGAAGTAAACTTGGACTGTGGGAGCTGAGCAGGTGATCTAAAATGTTATGTGGCATCGCTCGATGGACGCCGTGATATCTTCTACGCAACGCGACGTCGGTGCCACGAACACCAGTTTGGCGGACGCGAGGCGCCAGGGGCGCAGATCGGAACCTCGCAGTCCGCGACACACACACACACATGAGGAGGTTACGGGCATGGGCGAGTGACGGGCAGATCATCGGCGAAGCCCAAGTGGACAGTCTCAGAACGAAATGGTTGCTATCGATAGAGAAGTGTCGCCGGGCTCGTTTATGGGCAAGGGAGTGGGGATATCATGGTCTGTCACTCCTAACTGGGACGGAGCAATCCTACAAGTAGGGCCCCTCCAACAGACCTCATAACCCTTGTAAGCCGTGTTGTAAGCTCAACAAGTCATGTTGCAACCCCGGTAGCTTTAGTCGTTACATTAAGTACGCGCAGGTTGCCGCACTTGCGTGAACCTTTTCGTATCTGCACGAGGTAGTAAGCTCCTGGAACTTGTAACTAACTTACAAAAAAAGCAAGAGAACAACAAGTTACGGAAGTTATGGAACGCTTATGAGATGTCGAATTTGGGCGGTTTGGAACACATGGGCAACCGCTTGCTCGTTGTGAAGATTCCAAGTTTTCGTGGCAGTCGCCAAGAACTCATTTGAAGCCTCGTTCGCGGCGTGATAACGGGCGCCGGCCAGCGCCACGCACGCAGATGCTGCAGCAAAGGCATAGGCAGTCTTGGCCGACAGCAGCGGTGGCCCGCGCAGCGCCATCTTGTCCTATCCTGCGTAGTGGCCGACCACGGAAGCCATAGGTGCGCAGCACACACGCCAAGCTCTCGAGACGCGCGGGTTCTCTGCGCTTGCGATCTCTGAGATGGGGCGCAATGCATTTCGTGAAGCAAGCAAGGCCAAGCCACTGCCTCATTGGTTGCAGGAAGAGCAGGATGCGCGGCCGCCTGGGAAGTCTCGACTGCAAAGTCCGGGGGGCCAGCCGGCCTGCGGGAGCCTGTTTCGTTTTCCGCGTCGCTTCGGAAAAACAATGGGTGGCTCACTGACACCCGCTGTGTCTACACCCGCCCGGAATTTCCGGACAGGTCCGGAATATGTCCACAAACCGTGAGGAGCAAAGCCTGCGTGAGCGTGTGTGTAGCGTCCGAGCTTTGAAGCGACGGTACGCACTGTGCTCAGCACGCTGGCTGAGGGGGGCCGGCCAAGACCGCGTCCCAGCAGTAGCAGTGGTCCGACGGAAGACGTGGGCCAGAAAAACTGCCACAAGTGCCGCCTCTCCTCCGGCACTCTGCGTCGCGTTGTTCCTTTTGATTTCTGACTGACAAAGGAAACCAGGATTCGCGCGCGTTGATTGCTGAGGCTTGTGAAGCTGTGCGCGCAGCGGTGGTCCGGGAGTCGGCTGGCCTGAGCGCCACGAGCATGTTTTATGAAAAGCAGAAATTACACAAAACCAATCAGTAAGGCATCTACGCAGTTGTAAGTTGACGAATGCCCTTCTGCATAAACACCCCCCTCGATATGCGGGACAGAGTGCGGGACAAAGTGCCGGACAAAGTGCGGGACAAACTGCTGGACAAACAACTGTCCGGCAAGTTGTCCGGGGGTTGTCCGGAAGGTTGTCCGGAGGGTTGTCCGGAGGGTTGTCCGGAGGGTTGTCCGCGCACTTTGCCCAGATTTATGCTGCAAACCCCCCCCTCCCGCGAGAACACTTCCCTCCGAGTGGTTTCCGAGTGGTTCCGAGCGGGTTGTCCGGGGGTTTGTCCGGGGGTTTGTCCCGGGCTTTTGGGCCCTCAAAGCTGTCCGGAGGGTTGTTCGGGGGTTTGTCCGGTGAGTTGTCTTGCCGATTTTGTGCCTTCAAAGCTGTCCGAGGGTTGTCAGGGGGTTTGTCCGGGGGGTTGTCCGGGGCTTTAAGCTCGTTTGGCCTCTGTCAAGTTGTAAGCACAAGAAGTTACTTATATGGAGCATTGGAGAAGTTCAAGGTAAGCCCTACTTGTATCGACTTTCAGTACTCGAGGACTTGCCGTAAAAAAAACTGCCGACAGGGATAGGTTAATGCAATGCATTAGGCTTATTTACGGGTGAGCAGTTCCGCCTTGGCCCTGATGAGACTGTAATGAACTGGTACAAAAGTGATTCGCGGGAGCTTGAGAAACGCTCCGACGCTGAACACCGCGTTCCCTGGAACACCTTGCAGGATTCGCGTCTGAGAAAGGCATTGAGGCGCCTGCGCCTGCGGAGCTATTCTGATTTGGCGGCGAAAGAAAGTAAGGCGCAACAAGAACCCGATCTCGAACTGACAACACGTGCCACGAGGCTTGCCATCAAGGATGCGCCCAAGAGTCACCAACAACTCCTTGCCGCAATGCCCCAGCTTTTCTTGTGCTGCGGAATGCAAGACTCATGGATGCGCAATGGAATGCTCATGGAGGATTGTTCGGTAGTAGTTGCAGATCATGTCCTGCGTGTTTTGGGAATATGTGTACGTATTTGCAATTCCTTTGGCTTGTTGGGTGAAGATTCATTTGACCCAGTGTCGCCATCTATCATGCCCGTGCGACCTGTTGCGCTGATGGATGGGTCGATGAGCCGCTGTACAAAGATGTATCTGCTTGCGCGATTCCAGTGTGAATTTTCTTTTGGCCCGGGGTATGACGCCGACCCCAGAAAACGAATGATGATGGTAATTTCCTTGACATAGATTTGCGTATCTCGATGGTGCGACCTGTCACTTGCGACCCAAGTCTTCGGCCGACGCTTTGCAAACTGGACTGTGACACAAGTGTGCCAGCTGAGGTAAGGAGATCTTGGACGGCATCCCCAAAGATGAGGCTGCCGGTCTTGGTGTGGGAGCTTCCACCATCACTTCGCGCGGACTGTGAGAACCATGCTGGTTTCAGGAGTTTTGACACGTTTTCCGTCAAATCTTTTGGCTTAGGCACCCTCGTGTCGAGGTTGCGAATTTGCCGCATTGTTCCTTCGCGGTTCGGGCGCGAGTCCCATTCGAGGAGGTTACCACACACCAGTCAGAATCAATGACATTCTCTGCGCTCTCAGCTTGTCAGCCGTAGGGTGGTCTGTGAGACCACGGATTGCAAATTTCAAGCATCGCTCGCAAATGTTCGGTAGTGGCGCTCGAGGGCGCCATCGTCTGTGACGTTTCGGTTGTGCCACGATGGCGCCAGCAACGGGAATGTTGTTCCAGGGCTTGCCCGGGTCGGCTAGCCACGAAACTGGGCAGACCACACAGTGGTGAGTGCGAGTTCGTGTGACTTGCCGATCCAGACGTAGAGCGCCCTCGGACGAGGGTGGCGACTTCGAACGGGAACTTTTGCAAGTCTGCCAAACTGCTTCTTCGTAAGGCCCGTTTGAAACATGCACACACTTGTCAGAATCAAACGCAGCATTTTATGCTCTCCCAACTGCGAGCGTCAAGGGCTCAAGGTAACATTTTCAATAGCTTGACTGCCGCAAAAGTTGGTACTCACTCCCACTTGACACTAAAGGCCAAGGCAGCCTCAACGCCGGAATGGTTTTCACTGCATGTCGTGTGAGGGTCCGATGCCATGATTCGACCAGGCCGGGCGCCTGACTTCCTTTGGCAGCAGTGCCCATGGCCAAGGGACCTGCAAACCGTGTGCGTATTGGCAGGCGGCCCAGCGGGAAGACCTGTCAGGTAGGGGGATTTCGACCATGGAACTCGATTCAGCTTGTACTTCCGTTTTTGTTCTTCTTTTGGTGGGGGAGGGTTCGCATATTGGAACTCTCTGTGAAGATCTTGCTTTGCTTCGGGTATCGTTTGGCGGGCTCACCTGGCTCGCCTATTTTGGGTTTTGAAGAGGAGCTGTGGCACCTTGCCGCAGAGCAAATTTGGGCACAGTGACCTGGATGCTCGATCTGCACGCCCTCAGGTTCAAGGGGTGCTGTCAAAATGGAGTTGCGTGTCATAACTGCCCGGCGCTTACGGCGACACACGGGTGAGCGGGGGGTCCTGGATGCTGTGCCTTGGCGAAGGCATGGTTCGATTCCTTTTGCACATGGGCCTCAGATGCTTGAGTTGCCACCTGGAGCGAAAGTACCTGATATGTTTGAAGGCATAGCTTTTGACCCTTCGGATGGTTGTAGTATCCTTTTGTCAAGCTAGATGTTTAAGCTGAGTTCCTCCCCCAGGATGATCTGTTGAATGCTTTTCTCAGAATTTAAGTTGAATTGAAAAGGAGGTTACTCTAGTTGAGTTTCTCGTGTTAATGATAATTAGAAGTCTGAAGCCAAATTTGGCTTTAAAGGTGGCGCTTCCCCACAAGGATTCGTTCAATCTTGAGTTTGGGTTTCAATAGAACTTGGCAAGGAAAGAATGCCAGAAGAACCTTTTTTTTGTAAAGAGCACATCACTGAGATGTAAAAATGCATTTCTGATGTACTGCGCTTTGTTCAATCTTTTCATAGCAAGAATGCCACCAGAAACCTTAGCTTCAATTCGAATTTGAATAGGCGCCTCTTCACTACAGGAAGCGTCAATTAGATTTGAATTAGAGTTTCTATGTCTGCTTAGAGCAGAGCTTTGGAGGATATGAGCCGGCCATCAAAAAGAGCCGGCTTGCGAGATCTGCGATATGACACTCCTGCTCTTATCGAGTACTCTAATTATTTCCTCGCAGCATTTTAGCACTTCCAGGCCGCAAAATACTGTCCCCAAAAAAGCAATCCTTTCAAACTTGACAGACGCCAAAGTGCCACAAGCTAAACAAACAAGTAATCGCTTTGGGTCTTGGAGCTCTTAGGCTGCGGATTATGCTTTTCGGGACCTTACAGCTTTTCAGCGCTTCCAGGCCTCAAAACTATGTAAGGTTGGGGTCTCGGAGCTCTTGACAAGGCTCCTTGTAAAAATCCTTAAAACGCCAAATCCATTGCTCCTTGTACTGGCGAGCCATAAACAGCCTTATATAGCTCCGTTTAAAGGCGTCTGTCCTTGCGCAAACACTTCTAAAGCTTCTTTACAAGTTTCATTTGGGCTCAGAATGGAGTTGGTGGGAATGATGCTAGGATCCAAATTCAAAAAGAGAAGTTAAACGGGAATTCCTTTCCAGGCAGGATGTTAATTTCAATAGCTTTTTTAGTGGGATTTGATAGGGGACGAGTTTAATCAGAATTTCAACCTCAATTTGGAGTTTAAACACAAGGCCCTTCTCCAATGGCTTTCAGTTAGATGTAATATAATTTTGAGTATAATTTAGTAATGATGGGACTTTGTTAGAATAGAATAGCGAAGATGGGGCAGGAATGATACGCAACGACCTGCAGGCGCGGCACTTTCCAAGAAACGTGTGCTTTGACAGAGAACAAGCAGGACAAAATGCGCCATGAAGAGTTCTTTACTTTGGCCGCCATGATGTGATCAAAATGAAAAAACATGTAGTGAACGGGCCATGAGAAGCGACCACCCTATTCAGGGCTAGCCGGATTCTGGATGATGAGTTGCCTGTGTGGGCAAAACCGTCATTTCGAAGAATCCGACCGCCAGAGCGGGACAACGAGCGATACCTTTCAGTTATGGAGCGACACCCATGGCCCCTTCGCGCACTCAGTTGGCCCTTCACACGCTACACTTGAGTGTGCTTCGCGTACTGGACTTGCGCTACAAATGCTGCCACTGTAGCCAGCCATGTCATGTGTTTTGACCGTCCGACATATGGGGTCAGCATTTGTATATTTATGTATATAGTTGTGGTTGTTAAAGTTGGATTGATGTTGTAAATACCTGAAGACCTGTGTGTGACAGCGCGGCACTGTTGTTTCCAGGAGGCAAGCTGTAGCTCTACTGTATCTAGGCTCAAGGCCTTGATCATACAGATGTGCAAGGGCATGTACAAGAGGGGATGTATATTAACACCCCACCTTGGATTGATGTATTCCTACATCAAGACAAACAGTTGTGCTCTAGCTTGTCGAGGTGATGTAAAGTTGTTATCAGCTCTGCAGACTGTTTCAGTTTGTACAACGGTTCCTCTAATGTGTCGAGCGTTTGTGCAGACTGCATGTGCCACTTGATGTCTCCAAGGTGTAAATGCAACACCTTGTATCCCCAAAGCCGGTGTGCCAAAAATCGGCGATTACTGTGTAAGCAGTGTGGATCCTGCTTTCACTCCTGTAATGTACTCATTGTACACCTGTGCCTTTGTTGCAGCGTAGTTCACGTAGAACAAATGTTGCTGCTCAAGGATGTAGTCAATGTGGCCCGGATGCCCTGGCACTGCCTGTCCCTCAATCGTGCCACGTGTGTTGAGACTGTTTGCATCCTGCATCGAGATGTGCCTCACCAATGTTATTTGATGTGCAGGTGGCAGATGTTTGATGCTGCCAACTCCCATCAAGGACAATGCCTGTGCCACTGTGGCATGTCTGCGGCATGTGTCCTCATCTGTTGCGAGTTGCTCGAGGTTCACGCAGGCGTTGTGGGACCAGATGTACCCTGTGTTCCAGTTGAACTTCATGTAGATCCCGAGCAGGCCATTGTTGCCGGTGTACTTGATAACCTGGTGTTTGGACAGCTCGTCTTGTGTCTGCATCCATGTCTTGTTCATGTGAATTTGCATGTGTACTGCACTGTAGCCCCGATTGAAGAAATTAATGTAGCCGCGGGATGCCCGCTCGGCAATGTGCCTCGCATCCAGCTGTACCGTGGCCACAATGAAGGTGTCGAGGTGCTGTGTTCTGCATGTCCCGACAGAAATGTAATTCAGAAGGGTTGTGACAGCCTCGAAAGGGGAACAGCACGATGTACTCGACCTCTGGGCTTCTAGCCCAGCCATGGATGTGTTTCAGTTCGCCATTCTCTGTCCAAGATGTGAACTCCTCAAATGCCATTGCAATGTACATCATGTTGGTCTTGTTCTGGATGGTGTCCATGTGGATCCCATCCAATGTATGCAAGGGCTGTTTCCCGGTGATGTTCTCCTCAGTGTAGCCCCAAGATGTAAGGCTCATCGCGTCCCATGTCCTCGCCACTGTGACCTCTGTGGCCGGGATGTACCCAGCGATCCTTGTGAGTCCTGACATCGCCATTGTGCACCTTCAATGTACAGGGGTGTGTCTCCACAAAATGTAAAATGGCTGCGGCATGTATCAAAGACATTGTCTGAAACATGTATGAAACCTCATGCAGTAAAAATGTACCCGAGGATGTAAAAGGTGTGGTCAAAGATGAACTCAAAGTTGTGTACCCAAAACCAGAAAGGTTGTATCATCTCCAGGGCAGGTCCATGACTGTACCTAACCTAAAGCTAAAACATGTGCGCCGGCCCTTTAGTTGTGAAACATACACGTGTGTCAACTGTGCAACTGTTGTTTAACATACTGTGCAACTGTGTGAAACTGGTGTTGTGTGACCTCACAGGCCAACGTTGTACAAGTGCTTGTTGGGTGTGTCGCAGCTGACAAACTTTGTCAGCAGGTCTGATGGGTTGTCTTCAGACCTCACTTTGCGCATTGAAATGATTTTGCTTTTGACATGTTGTTGTATGAAGAGGTGTCGTAGCTCGATGTGTTTTGCTTTCTTTGATGTGCCTTCCCTCATTGATATTGATTTTGCTGCACTGCTGTCTGTGTGTATCCTGATGTTGATGCGTACCTCAAATGCTTCTTTTATGAAGTTGCCGGTGTAGAGGCTTTCCTGTGCAGCTGTACCAATTGCGTACAGTTCTGATGCTGCTGATGAAAGTGCTATTGTGGCTTGTGTTCTGCTGCCATAATGTACTGCTGCTCCAAAGAAGTACAGTACAAATCCTGTTGTGCTCTTTCTCGTTGTTTCACATGATGCTCAGTTGGCATCTGTGTATGTGTCAATGTTGAGTGGTATTCGCTTGTCCTGTGTTTGCATCTTTGGTCGCAAGTTGTGTCGCATGTACCTTGTGCCCTTAAGGTACCTGATCATGTGCTTGAGCTTCTTGTTGTCAAACTGTGTTGGTGCTTGTAATGATCTTGCTAGCTCTTTTGCTCCATAGCTGATGTCTGGTCGTGTGTATGCTAGCCATTGTATTTTGCCAACAAGCCGCCTGTATCGTTTGTGCTGTTCGTGGTCAAGTGGTGCTTCGTCTTCTGCTGTACCTTTCATGTGTGATACCCGTGGTGATGGTGCTGGGTTGCATGTAGTCATTCCTGACTCTTCCAGGATGATGTCAACATAGTTGTTGTTCAAACTGATGTCGATGTGGTCACCCCTGTGTGAGATGTTCCTGCCAAGGAAGTGGGTTGTTGATCCAACTGTTAGATCGCCGGTGTGTCTAAGCAGAACTTCCTTTTGTATGCTGCTGAACAGTGTGTTGATGATGCTTTGTACTCCTATGAATAGGAGATCGTCTGCATAGATCATAATGTAGACCAGGCAATCCTCTGACCTGTAGACATTGCTTTCTGTTGTGCATCTCACCAATTCGAGTGTGACTGTGAGAACGTGTGCTATGTGGTCTTGCCATTGTTTTGGTGATGATCTAAGACCGTAGGTTGCTTTGTTTAGCCGCCGCATTATGTGTCTGTTCTCTTCGTTGGAAAACTCGTGTGGTGGTCTCATTACCAGATTGTGTGTGATGGCTGCTGCATGTAGAAATGCAACACTCACATCTCCTGTGCAGACCGACCAGTTGTACACCAGTGCCATTGTGAGAAGCACTCTCAGAATGCAAAACAATGGTGTACTTGCGAAGAGTAGGTCGTGGTCTGTAACGGGTTCTGTGTAGCCTTTTGCTACTATGCGTGCTCGTACTTCGTTGTGTTTTGGTTTTAGAACCCATCTTGATTCAATGATGTTCGCTTGTTGTTCTGGTGTCATTGTGTTGCCATCAATCTCTGTGAAGACTGATTGTTCTTGCATTTGTTGTACTTCCTTCTTCATGCCTTGTGCTACAAGTTGTGGATCCAGGTCTTCTGTGTCATGTATGATCGGCTCCAGTAGGATCC